TATTCTACTTAATCGTGCTTATATATAGAGGCATAGGCTATCAAGTATCTATAGAAAATAAGATTAGTTTTAATTCAACTTATGACCCTCTTTCATACACTGATAGCATGATCACCTGCAAGAAAAATAATGTTAGTATAATAAACATCGCCATAATATCCAGTCTACACAAACAATAATCTTTCTAAATGTTCATCTATAATGACAAAATATATGTATCGTACACACCCAATTCAATCATGTAAGCAATGCTCATAAAAGAATCAAATCAAGCTTCCAAACAATGCTCATAAGAGAAACCACACACATATCACCACCGACCTAACCTAATCTTGGTTTGTAAACCAACAAAAGCATCAAAAAAGTTTGGTATGTGAGGTAGTTGTGCTTATCTTTAGGTTTTGAGTATAATTTGAGTTCATGCTTCAATTTATTACCATTGGGTAGATCAAGTTTAAGTTGATTTAGTGTTTGGATTTTTAATGTTGGTTTATGTTTCAATTTGATTTAATGTTATAAAGAGTGTTGTGAAAACAAGGACTTGCTTGGCTAGGGGTCATCCTGTTCATAACTCACTGGTCCTGACAATAAAGGGTACCATAATCGGAAAAGTAAGATATACTACCTTGAATTGCTAAGAGGATTGATTATGCTTTATTTAATTAAGATTGTTTTGTTGGCTAGTAATTTGACTTCGAGTTCGAGTTTTATTTAATTAGATTAAACTGAATTAAGATTCTTGATTCATCAACTTGAGATCCTAAACGTGTGACATGGGATACTGAGTAAATACGTGTTAAATCTAAGTTTAGGTTTTTCAACTTCATGTGTTCTTTACAGTTTAAGGCTCTCAAAAACCCATTCAAGCTTAGAAGTAATTTTTGGGATGTAAGGATGGCTGGAGGACTACCTTATAATCCCTTAAATTTATATTAATTATTGTTAATGTTTATTAACTTCACTTAAATTTATCCAAAATACAAATCAAATCTTCATTATAATACCATTTGGAGGTAGGAAATCAATTTTAGAAGACTTTAGGTTTTTTCTGGATTATTTTGTTTTTTTTGGAAATTATTAATTAGTTAGTTAATTTAATTACATAAAATACAAAATAATTATAAATTTTTGAAAATTTACAAATTAATTAATAACATTATTTTACTATATTTGTTTAGTTATGATTTATTTAAGATATAGTTTATTTTTTAAATTTTAAAGCCCAAAAATATTTAAATTGGTAAAATATTTTTATTACATTTTTATAATTTAGCTATTAATTTAAGGTGTTCATGGATAGAATACCATTAAATGTGTTAGAGTTGTTTATATTCTTTTTTATTTTTATTTTTTTAAATTCAGCTATTAAAGGGAGCAATTCAATTAAATCTAAATTTCTATATTTTATTATTCAATTAAATACCTTTTGTAGGTTTCATTTTTTTTCATTTGATTCCTATACCATTTGAATTCAAAATTTTATAAAAAAAAGTACTCTAAAGTGAAGGTTTAGTAGAGGAACTTGACATGAAATTTTCAAGGCCAATTTGAATTATTTTATAATTTTTATAAAATTTTAATTAAGATTCATTAATCAAATTAATTTATATAAAATTATTTATACTTTATAAAAATATGATAATTTCTCAAAGTGAATGAGTTGAAACCCAATAACTCTGGGAAAATTCCCATCTCATATGGAGTTATATTATTGGTTTATTAGATTTTTGCTAATTAATTAACCCATTAATTAATTTAGTCCCATTAACCAACCTGATTCCTCAAAATCAGACCCTAAACTCACTTTTTAGGCTTTAGGAAGCTCAATTAGGGTTGGAGTTAACTTAATTTGATGTTTGAATAGATTAATTATGGTTTATTAACCTAAATTAATTATTAAATTAATTTTAGTAGGAACTTAGGGCAAATTTGGGTAAAATCTTCAAATTGAAGTCCAAAAATCTTAGAAAAATTCCTAGAGGTTTGCATGGACTTAAAAATTATCCTATAGAAAGGGCCTTAATCATTTTTAATTAAAGTTTAATTAAGGTTTTAGGATTTTTTGTATTTTTTTAAAATACTCCAAATTATAGGGTATATAGTTTGGGGCTTTTATTTTATGTTTTTTTTCAGCCTTAGAGAAAGAACTCGAAAAATGTGAGCAAGCTCGGATTGAGGAGCTCGTTTAAAGACAGGAGCTTAGCGAGCCTTATCGGAGGAACTTACATGAATGCTGAAGAGCTTTGGAGTTGCACTCTAGGTCCTTTGGAATGGCAAAAAAATCTGTACCTTGTCAACTTCAAAGTACGGCTAATGAGTATGATTGACAACAGGAACCAACTTATTAAATGCATGGTCGGTGAGCTCAATCTAAGATTTGGACTTTTGTGTTGCTTATGGAAACTCATATTTGGATGCACAGCCATGATCAATCTAAGATTCACTATTGAAAAAGATCATTATCACTCTAATTTCTAATTAGTTCCTCTTCAAAAAAAACTTTCACGCTTCATGGTGACCAAATCAACTCTAAATATATTATATACAATTGGATTAATAGTGTTAATTTTTATTTGGGAAAATTACATATGTACCACATGATTGTTATATATTTACATATCTAACACTTAAAGTTTTAAATTTACATTTTCAACACTATTTGTGGTGTATCTCAGTTTTAAAAAGCTAGTAAGGTTGATATTTTTGATGTGATATTAATGATTTGGTTGTTAGAGTGTTTACGAGCCTAGTCAAGCTCAAGTCATAATAAATTGGAGCTCAGCCTGTTTATTAAAATAATAACTTGAGCTCAAGGTAGTGTCAAACCAATATTATAAGCTCGAGCTCGAATTGTCATTTTATTATGAAGATTGAGGGCTGAGCGCGGAAGGACATCGTCGAAAGCTGTGCTCAGAGCTTGCTGGCAAATGCATCAAAACCAACACGAAAGAGTTGTTCGAGGAGATGATATGATCAACTTTATGTAGAGGGAGGAGTTTGAGATGATCTCATCGGTAGTTCCCTAAAAAGGAACTATTTTCACACAAAAAAAGTAGTAGAAAAAATCTTTAAGCTTTTAAGCTCTGGATATGTTTTAAAGAGTGCTTTTAAACTTTTAGGCGAAAATGATGTGATTATCTTATATCTTATTACGATTATACTTTTATTGATTTGATGAGCTTTTTTTTTATTTTGTTGTATGCAAATTTATCTGTGAGTCACGCCCAATGAATAAAGTCTAGGACAAACTCATGCGATATGTGATTACAAACACACCATCAGCTATCACAAAAGTCATCTTCTCTACATTGGTCAAGTGCATATTGATTCTGTGGTAGCCCAAAAAAATGCCTAAGAAGCTCATCACAAAGTGGCGGGTCGTTGAGTCTACAAACGCGTCGATCCTCAATAATGGGTAACTGTCTATTAAGCATGCAGTGTTTAGATTTGTGAAATCCATACACATCCTCTACTTGTCGTTTGCCTTTTGTACCATCACCATGTTTGAGACCAAGGTATGACACTGCTCTTCATGTATGCAACTAGCTTCTTAGAGTTTATGCACCTCATCCCAAATTGGTCAGACCATGTTGACAACCAAATACCTTATTGTTGCTTCAATAGTTGGATAGTAGGAATGATATTCAAGCAGTGGCTGACAACATCAAATGGTACCACTCACATCACGACAATTGACCGATCAAATATGCCTTGATGCACCCTGAGAGTTTGGATCAACGAGTCTTTCGGCCTTGCATCAACAGTCCGTTGAACACTTGAGGGTCGAATCCATTAGCACGGTGAAGAAAAGTGGACACTTAATGCATCTGTAATCTTCAAAAGGTCTATGGTCGACTCAATGGACATTTTGTGGTCAACAAGATCAACCTAATCCTTATAGAATTCCAATGCAGGAATTTTGAATATCTTCAAGGGGCTCAACTTCTGAAATATGCCCAGAGAATGCGTTCTTTGGTTAATGGGGTTGCTTCAGTTCACTTGATCTATTGTCTATAAGTTGATGCCGACTCCACTGTCCCGCTATCAAAATTGTCCTACACATTTTGGGCTTTGAGTCACCCTTCCGCCATAGGGCGCCAATTCTCCTTCTCAAAAATTTTGATCTTAGGGATTTTGCTCCCTTTCTTGAACTATTACTTCTTTAAGGGCTTCCATCATTCGATCCTTTAGCTCCTGGATTTGTTGTTGCAAAAACTCCACAATGCACTCAATATTAGTGATGTCTCTGTTGTGGTTTCATTCTCCATGTGATACTCCCCTTCTTGTTGTTGGCATGATTTACACTTGCCGCACCTTTTAGGTTATTACATCTGAATCCGTTCATGATTCACACCCAATAACTAAAGCGTAAGATCGGGAGGAGCGAGAAAGAGTGAGAGATGAATAATAATTTAAAAGAGTTGTGTAACCCTTTATTTATAGAGTTGCACCTGACTAGACAAGTATTTTGGTATTATACTAATAAACACTTAATATTTTGTTGCTGGACCTTTTGTCATCCACCGAGAAAACTTTGATCTTCTATCCACGGGCCCCTGGTTTTCCGCTCGTGGGTCCCATGGACTTGTGCTCCTTTGCAACTTTTGTTCATTGGATTTCCTCGAGATTCGTCCAAATGTTCATCTGCTATACATATTCAGTCTACTAAATTTGTATTAAATATAGAACCGACTCGCGAGCCTACGAGCCAAGTCATATCGGGCTCGAACTTGAGCTAGTTTAATACGCAATCTCGAGTTTAAGCTCAAGCTCATGACTCGATAAACTCGGCTCACGAGCTCGTTAGCAAGTAGAGTTCTATTCGGCCCCGCTCATTTACACCCCCCCTAGCATCTATACATTTAAATATTTAAATTTAGTTGTTAGAAACATAAATATCTAGAATTGTGTGGATGTACAACAAATACCCCATTTCATTTATTTCAGTTCATTCCATTTCCTAGAAAATATATAAAGTCAAATTCTCCCATGTAAATCCCAAAAATGAAAATGATGCGGTCTTCACTCTTCGCCGGCAGCCAGCATTAATTTTTCCGCGGAAGCCTCTCACTCCAATCACATTTCCACGTTTGTTATTATTATTATTAATTTACAGTTGAAAGCTTTAACGCGAAGGCGAACCCCTCGTTCGGCTTGTCTGGTTTCCATCACCACCGGGAAGTGGCGAGTTCCTGTTTTCTGTTTTTCCCCACGCGCAGATGTTCAGCCGAAGGGAATCCATCATGGGGACGGCGGCTTAGTCGTTTGGGAGGTATCAGGTTTGCGTTTTGGTTTTCGTTACGCCTTTTGTCCGCCTGTTTTTCTTTTTTTTTTTTTAGATTTGATTTTTGAGCGGATTTGGTGGTTTTGCGAAGTGGTTTGCTTTTGGATGATCAAATTGCGTTTTGTTAGATTTGGTAGGGTTCATTTTTTTCCTTATAGATTTGGCCAGGGGTTTGAGTTTGCTGGTTCAGGTAGGTTTTTGTTTGAAGAAGAAAGAGGAGTGCGGGGTATTGAACTGTTTCACGTTCTATTGTCTGGAGGAACGCATGCTACGGTGCTCGGGTTTCTTGTCGATATCGGCGATGAAGTTCTGTGAGGAGAGTAAATTGATGACCGCAGGTGATTGCTGTATAAATATATGGATTATATATCGGGCTGTAATTCAGGGTCATTTACACGATAAAATAAAACTTTTAGAGCTTTAATTTAGGGCCTTTAGAGCACCGCTGCTAAACCGCCCCCCGGGGGCTCTTTTCAATCCTTTTTTTTTTATTTGTGCCACAGATATTTTATGCATGCTTCATCCTATGGATTTGATCATTTCTAATCTCAACAGTTGAAGGTGAAGCAATTTCCATTGCTATATATATTTTTTTCTTTCTGTGCGGCATGTTATGTGTTGTTTTCTGCCTTTTTTGGGAGAAAAGAGTAACAAATAAGTTTTGTCTTGTTATTTCATTTTTTGTGGAGTTTGTTAAGTGATTTTCCTTTGAAGAAGGATTGAGGATTGTTTGTGTATGATGTGCTCGATCTTTCTTCTCTTCATTCACCACACAACTGATAGGGAGGCTGTTTGATATATATTAATTCTAAATTACTTGGCTGGAACTCAGTTAGATGAATGTTATTTGACCTTTGGGAGCGGATAATTTGTTTGACTCGGCGGATAAATATAAGATAATTAGTATATTCAAAGCATTAAGCATATGCAAGAGTTTGTTTTTTCTTCAATGCACAAAGCAGAAAGTGAAGTGATGCTTTTACTAACTAGAAGGTTTATGATTTGCACATAGCATATACACATATTATGTTCATATAATAGTTATTGCTAAACTTAAGCCACATGAAATAATAGCTTTAACCAAACATAATAATGGTTCAACAACAATAATTTTCAGTTTGTCTAAAGCAAACAAAATAATCAAAGTTATAAATGATAAATTAAAGAAAGAATGCTTAAAAATTAAGAACACTTATAAGATTGAGTGACCAACTAGAGTAATAATTTTAAACAAATATAATGATACATTCAATATGAGATTTTAACTACTCAAAAGGAAAAGATCGAAAATATAAATGATGAAGTCATGACAAAGCACTTCAAAGAGAAAAAAACTTCTGATATTGGATATCTAACTAGAGATAGAGACATGGATGCATTATGAAGTAAAAGAGTGTGGAAGATGAGGCATTGAGAAGCATTCTCAAGAAGAATGTTGTGAGAAAAAAATGTAAGCATCACTAGCAACATGAATCATCGAAAAGCATATGAAAAATTATTGTTTAAGATAGGTTGAAGAAAAGAATCATCATAATGATGACAAGCTCTAACCGAAGTGAATGAAGCACCAATGAGCCACTAATTGAATGATTATGAAAAAATATTGAGTGACGAGAGCAAATATCAATGCTCATTTATTTTGATGTATGCTTAATCTAGCCATGATATATGAACCAGGATTTTGTTATGAGATGGAGTTTTGCACAAAATAATATGACATGACGTGATTAAGTTTCATGATATGCTCACTTTGCTTTTAGTTTACCTTTCTTAGGCATGCATCCATAGAGCTAAATTCTCTTAAAGCCTGTTTTTAATAGCATGGAGGATCACTTACGTTACAGTCATTAGAGGAAAGTTCTATCCTTTGAAGAATTCTACCCAGAGAGAATGTCTCTATTCACTTCTCTGCATTGGTTTATGAAAGAGCTCCAACCCCTTAAAAAGGGCAGAATTCAATTTTTGCAATCATTGAATATAAAAACTACTAGGAGTATCTCTCAACAAAGATAGATGGGGAAGGATAAATTTGTATGAAAGATCTCAAACGGACAAGTCTAAATCAATATTTTCCTTTGCTTCATATTTTTCCGCTCATGGATAAGATTTTGGAGCATTCAATCCTTTCATTTATGGACATCCATTTTCTTCCCCAGCCCTCTTCCATTTACCTTGCATGTTCTCTTGTTATTTTAGCGCCTTAATTCTGCTAATAATGGTCTTCCTATTTGTGTGCATTCTTGGTTATGTTTGTTGGATTCCACTCCAAAATCAAGATGAGTTATGAGTGGATCGACGGCAGCTTTCTTAGATCAGAGTGATTGGCTATCTTAATTTCTTCTATTTCAACTATTTCAACTATTAAATGACGTTAGACTTTTTCTTCATATACCTGATCAATCAAGGAAATCATATCCACAAACCAAGAACTTTGATTCATTTTTCTTTCCTTTGCAAATTTCCTGTTGTCTGACACCATATATCATACTAAATTCAATCCAAAGAATGCAACATTTTACATGTAAACAGAACTGCTCTTTATTTGACTTCTTTATGTTAGCTTTGTATTATGATTCATTGCTTGGACATAAGCACTGCCCCTGATTTGAAAATGAAGGGCTCAACTTTTGGGATAGAGGTGTAGCCCAAGTGTCCTTTGGGCGAGCAATGAAAAAGGAAGCGTGTCTTGCCACTTATTCACACTAAATAGGGAGACCCCCTTCCAAATATAGGCTGTCCAAATTGAAGGAAACTTGCAATAAAAAAAGGAGACCACAGCACCTTCATTTGGATTATTCTTAACCATGGTTTTTCTAAAAATCATTAAACCACATTGTTGACAATAAATAGTTGTATTTGTTATAATCAGCATGATCAGCTTTCTTGCCGATGAAAAAGATGTTATCATTTGTGATGCCAATCAATCAAAACTCAGGGGAGTTCATTGTGAAGCTTCATAATTTAGATCCACTATGCTGTACAAGTCTTGTAACGATAGGCGCTGATGTGGATTGGGCCCTTTAAAGTTGTGTGATTCATTGGAGGCTAATTGTCTCACAGTGGAGTAAATAGAGATAGAGAAATACGATAGCAAAGAGTACAGAGGATGCAAGGCTTAGTAAAAGATGGCATGACACATAATTTGAGCACTACAATTATACTCTTAAAATATTAAAGGTCAAACTTGTGTTGCAAACACAATTATTTGAGTTGTTTGTTTGTTTTTATAAACACATGTCAAATCAATTTTGTAACAAAGATATAACTTTCTAATTCCTACATAAAAAACATATTAAATGCATCGAGTTCCCGTAAATAGAAGGTTCTGGGAGCTGTTGATGTATGTAGTATTGTCCCTGAATTTGTGAAGGGGCAATGTCCATGACTTAAGCCGTTGATAAATGGATGGGTGGAGCTTAGTTTAAATTTTCTATGCATGATTATTTTCGCTTTCTTATTTCAATAATGACATACATTACATTTTCACCTTTAATAACAACAAATTATTTGATAACTATCTATCACAAATATATGATGCAACCTAACCATTTTTGTATACCTCCACTGCTTTTTGATACATTGAGTTTTCGATTTTTTTGTTTGTAGAAAAATCTACACTTATAAAATAAGTTTTACGTTTGTTCTCAAGGTGAAAAATATACTTAAATTTTGTCCGACAGTTTATAATCTAAGTGTTTGGCCTTTTCTCAACCAAATAGTTAATTTTTTGGCTGATATGTATGCATTACATTTTTCGTTGAATCCATCATCTCTATCATGACAACCGGAAACTGCTTTTTCTTAAAGAATAATGAATTCACCAATATATGACTGACTAGTGTCATTATCAATTTGGTTGCAGAAAGTTTGACCTTTTTCTAAGTCTTCAAGATGCTTTCTCTATCTGAAAATCAAAATATTCGAAGGGATGGGGCAAACCGATAAGATTATAATAGGTGTCACTGTTGGTGTGGCGGTTGGGATCATCTTATCTTGTTGTGCATTCTTCGCCAGTAGGTTCTGCAGAAAGCGTGCTCCTCCAAGTCTGAGTTCAAGAGAGCTTAACACACCATCTCTTCCCATACGTGAAAATGGTTTTGATAGCAGTATTGATTCCAGTGCATCACTCTCAATTCATTATGACCCGGAAGATGTGCCCAACAAAAGCAATTATTGGGGCCAACGAAAGCACCAGGAAAGGGATTTATTCAGTTCTTTCTCTGGGATTCCACGATACTTGTATAAGTATGTTTTAGAACCTGCCAATTTTTTCTCAATGTTAGGTTTATTGCTAGATATCTTCTGTTTGATTTTTTTGATCTAGCTTTTTTTTTTTTGCCAACTTGTTTACCTTGTTCATTCATCGTAATTTTAAACTCTATATTTTATTCTTATGCTAGTCAAAATTATTGTCTTCTCAGCTTTTCCATACTAGAGTGTTTTATATCTTCAAATAGGGTTAAATTGTTGAATTCTTATGGTGTTTTGATGAATATCACTCTAGCTACTATGGATTTAATCTATACTTTTTAATGTGTAAGTTAAGTCTCTTTGTTTAAATTCAATGCGCCTCTAATGAAGCAATCATGTATTTATAAGTCCAAAGATTTGTCTAAGAAAGAATCACGTGATTACAAGTTTTTAAGCTATTTAGTTTTGTGCTTTTCATACGAGTATACTAGTTTTGCTAGGTTGAACTTCTTTCCTTACTCTTTGTATGCTCGTGTTTCACTTTAAAAATCCCTTATAGTGCTCAGGTTTCACTTTAAAAATCCCTTATATTGTTACTTTTTATTTTAGCCCCAACTTCACCTAGTTAAATATCTTAATACGTAAAAAGATTTATAGGAGTCCATTAGTCACTATAGCCGCCATGTATCAAAATCTAACCAAGTTCAATCAGAGTGTTTTTTACCATGCTTGAATTGTACAAAGTCAGTTTGACAAAATTCATTGAACCGAGCTAGTGCGCTTTACCTTTATGCTATTCTTGTTTGGCTTTAACTTCCTCTTCCTCTTACTTTTGGTGTAAATTATATTACGGAAACATATTTTTAACTCTAATTTAGTTTTAACCCTCATTTTTTATTGTACATGTTAAACCCAATGACATTATTGTGTGTTTTATTATACTTTTGGTGCTAAAGCTGTGATTTGGCTATTAGCTTTTTGCGGAGCTTGTCTTGTTTATTGTAGATTAGTTTGTTTTTTCATTGTTATTTTGTATGCTTTATCATATTTTTTGTGATAATTCAATTGTGCAGTACTTTTCCTATGCTAGCCAAAAAGTCCTTTTAAGTTTATTAACCGCATTTTTAAATTTGTCTTTCCTTGACATATTGCTTAGATGATTTTACTTTAAAATTCATCACTTCTCAAGGAAAATATTCCTTTATGTTCCATTGAAGAATATAATGTAGTTGTGATAGATTATTGCAAATTTTTAAATTTGACCCTCTAAATCTGGATATCTTTTCTTATCTGATGGCCTCTAAAAAGTTGTGCCTGACAACATAATCTGACTATGCCATCTAGGGACATTCAGAAGGCTACACAAAATTTCACAACCATTCTAGGACAGGGATCTTTTGGTCCCGTTTATAAGGCTGTACTACCTACAGGTGCTGTGGTAGCTGTGAAGGTGCTTGCTAATAAGTCTAAACAAGGAGAAAAAGAGTTTCAAACTGAGGTGCGCGTCTCAGCTTATATATTGATTTCTACATTGCGGATATCATTTCTATTCAATTTTTTGGATTCAAATTTTACTCGTATATTTTTGCAAGTCACACACACACACAATTCAATTTTTTTTGGAACGCACACACACATATAGACACACACACACACCCAACCACCCGCCCGCCCGTGCATATATACCTACATACATGCATACTTTGAAAATCTTGTTCATGCTTGGCTCGTCTTTTGAAAGACCAAATAAAAATATCTATTGAACCAAACACGAGGTACTCATAAATATCAAATTTTTTCAACACATCCAACCTTTTCATGCAAAATGATTGCAAATTATTGGTCCTATTAATCATGACCAAGCAACTGAAGCCTTTAATTTATTTTAAATCTTATTTTTCTTAAATGCTCACGAATTTTTTTTATTGGCGCAGGTAGTTTTACTTAGTCGATTACACCACAGGAATTTGGTGAATTTACTTGGATACTGTGTGGACAAAGGCCAACTTATACTTGTCTATGAATTTATGAGTAATGGAAGTTTGGCTAGCCTGTTGTATGGTACGATCATTTTTTAAAAATCATGCTGCTCTATACACACACATATGATGCACTTTTTTCTTCTTGCGAAGCAAATATCTTTATCCTCTTAGATTTCAATATTGAGATTTAAATTTAAAATAAAAAAATGAATATTGATAAAGATGCTGGCATACATGATTCCACGAAGTTTTAAGTTCATCTTATTATTAATTAGTTGCATCACCATTTTTTCAATTGAGCTTGATTGAGTGGGAAGATAATTATCAACTTGTAACGATTTTGAAATTATTTGCATTTAATGGAATGCAGTTACCCCTCCATTCTAAACACAAGCATAACTAGAAGATTGTCCTTTATAGCGGCACGCATGTTCCTTGTTCCAATGAATCTGGAGAGTTTGCTTGTTCCTCTCTTGGGACAATGGCAATAATGGGAGATAAAGCGCTCCTCCAATTTCAAGGAGATTTTATTTGAAATGTATTGGGTTGCTATTGATGTGTCGACCTTGTTGTCAGATTTATGCTACGAACAACTTCCATATCATTTTTTGACCATTTTTTAGAGGATGTATTTTCTGCCTTTTAGGACATCCTCTGAGCTAGTTTACTTGTCAACCCAATGAAAATAATATTATCAATAATGAGTTTTGTCACAATCTTATCTTTGATTCTGTGAAGTCTTAAAACCTTAGGAAGAGCTTACTAAAATTCTGTACTTTTCGTAAGATGAGAATGATTTCTTTTCCAATTAATCTCTATGTTAAATGAGGAAATGCGCAAGATATAGGTTTTATAGGGGACTATTAAGAAATTAACCCATATAAAATCATGCAACACATTGGTGTAAATAACTAGGAGAAGCAAATTTCGAGAACTCTAATATAATCACAATCTTTAATGTATTTGATCTTACTTAGAAGTTGCTACCAATATGGTGAATTATACTCTTTCTATTTCTTCCTTGAGAATTCACATTCAACACCTTAATAAGTAGATTTACTTGTTTTATTTTAGTAACTACCATTTATATTAGGGGTTGTGTCAACCTTTGATGGTGGATATTAGGGATATTTTGTGCTTTGAGTTAACAAATCTACTTGTGAGGATTCATGGATAAATTTGCAAAAAACAGGTTAGTTAAGACCAAATTTGCATAAAAATTTTCATATACTTAATTTGTCAGAGCCAAAAAATTTCAATTTGTGCAAATTGATGTAGAAGGATTTCACTGGGGCTATACATTTTAGTTGAACTTCAAGTGTGTATTTTGTTCTACGTATGATGTTGCCCTTGTAGATACTTTACATATGTGATATTTATATATGCGACACTATAATAATCTCTGTTGGCTTCCTTCCGTAGAACTCTTTTACTCTTTAGTTCAATGGATATTAATTTCTTGGAACTATAGCATGTTTTTGGTAGCTTCTCAATTACAGTTATTTTTTTTTTTGTGGTATTATAAGATATTTTAGCAATTCATTTCTTTTTCCTTTTTTAAAGTATTATACTGTAGTTAGGAATTTAGGACTAGATGTGGTTGGGATTTAAGTGATAATTTTGTTATTCTGCTGAAACTAAGATTGAAAACTTATTTTTATTGGAATCTAAATTTACTAAGTTAAAACTGGTAGGATTAGGTTAGAACTTGGAGTATTTTGAGGAACTATGTATTTGGGGGCTCTCTTATGTCATAAATAAAATTTTTCAAGCTTGTAAAATATAATTTATAGTGCAATAAAATCTTATTTCTCTCAATTTTTTTCTGTTGTTGGATATGGATTCTTTGAGCACTAAAACTTTGATAACTATGTTTAGGAGGACGAGTGCTCTTTTTATAGATGTGCGACTTGGATCTTCGTTTTGGTGATCTGTATCCTTGCTCTTTATGCTAAACTTTTTTAGTGATTGGTTTGTTTTTATGATTGAAATTTTGTCTAGTTTGATGTGTGCTTGTGATTACCAATTTTTCTCCACTCAATATGGGTTGCACACATGGAAGGTAATCATTAAGATTAGAATCCTAAAAAAAGCCCCTTCTAGATGCTTACCTTATATCACGAACTTTCAAAATGCTCCCTGACATTCTTAATCTGGCCAAAACCAGTACCTCTTGAAGTATTCAACAATCTAGATCTCCCTTGTCAAGCTCTCCGAGTCGAGCTTCATAGTAGCCTGACCTCACAAAACTTTCTTCCTTGATATTCTCACCCGATGCGCTCTTACATGAACTTGTTGATTTTCTCAGGAAACTTTTGGAGGACCCTCTTCAAGAGCTTAGCAAAATTAGATTTCTCTATGAATTCTCCAAGGTCAATCTGAGATAGGTCTACTAGGCTCACAATTCTGCCATTCAAAGATGTTATGTTGGAAATAAATTTATGTGAAAAAAAATTATATTCTAGGAGGATTTCCTGCCATTTGAGGCTTTCAAAATTCATCCGGCGTATAGTTACTTCTTTCATGATCAGGCCCTAGGAGATAAATGAGATAAAAATTACTTGGCAGTTGCAACAATTTCGTCCAGGCTATGGCAACTCGTTCCCAGAGGTTGATTTGATTCCAGTTATTTTAAATTAGGAGAGAGGATTTAATTGTTACAGGAACTATTTCTGTTGGAGCCTATAAATAAATTTCCCTTGCCTAGGGAGCAAGAGGAGGAAAACTAGTTCCAAGAATCCATAACACTCATTTCTTTTGTAATTACATATTTAATACCTAAATTTTACTTTTTACATTTATACCACCCAAATCTTTTACATCACCTAAAATATATTACCATCTTAATTTTTAAAATGTGAAATACATCTTTTCATTCATAAGTAAGGTGGTATGCATGTAAAAATTGAAGTCTTCCTATTTTCAACTGGAGAACATAGAGTGATTCTAGTGGGCACCTCATTCGTTCCGCTCTTCTCCCTTCCATTCTCCGTAGCCGTGATTCTTGGATTAGGCATCTTTGTACTTTTTCTCTCCACCTTTTATTGATCTTTATGTCATATGAGTCTGGAGTAATCGCATGGTCCTGATCTCACGTATCTGAACCTAGTGATGGTCCTCGCTGGCCTTATATGTATTCATTACAAAGCCTATATGGCGCCCATAATTAAAAAGTTTTTATAATAACTCCTGTTATTATAGTTAGTTAAAAGTCAAACACTGTCAATCATCCATAACTTTAGCTATCGTTTGAATCATGATGAAGATTAAAATGTTATTGATTGCCCCTTGTGTAGAGAAAAATTTTGCTTAATATGTCCTGCTGATAAAATAAAAACTTTTAACTTATTAATTTATTGGCAAGAACCCACCTAATTCTGCAGGTGATGGTCCGCGCATTCTTAACTGGGATGAAAGGCTACAAATTGCGTTAGATGTGTCACATGGCATCGAGTATCTTCATGATGGGGTTTGTCGAGCTACACCTTAACCTTATTTTCTGATACTTCAATGGCTTCTTGATTATAACCAACTCGCTGGTCTCCTATTAACAGGCATCACCTTCAGTTGTTCATAGGGACCTTAAATCTGCTAATATACTCCTTGACAGGATGATGAGAGCAAAGGTAAGGCATAGGCTCTACTCTTGCTGGTTATCTTTGCTTTTTGCTCAACTTTAACTGTTTCTGTGGTCCCTTATGCATGATCTGTAATTTGTCTTATGAAGATTAATACCACTCAATTCTTATGTATTTACATGTCTAACACCTAAACTTCAATTTTTACATATATGCCACCTTACCTATGCATGAAAAAGGTGTATTTTAAATTTTTTTGATGTGATGTGAAGATTTGGGTTGTATAAAGTGGCAAGTTTAGGTGTTATGTAAATACATAAAAATTGGGTGGTAAAACAACAACAACAACAACAACAACAAGTCTTTATCCCACTAAGTGGGGTTGGCTACATGAATCCTTTTTCTCCATTGCGTCCTATTGATTGTCATATTTTTATTTAATTGTAATAAATTAAGATAACTTTTTATACAATATATCCAAGTCTTTCTTGGTCAACCTCTGTCTTTCTTAATATAGGTTTAATAAAAAACATCTACCGTCCTAATCGGATCATCACATCAGATCATCAAATGATTGGTGTTTAATGTGACCAGCCCTATCACCGATATATTCATTGCGCATTATCTCTAAGCGTAAAGCTGCTTATCCACCTAAGTGTTCTCATCTCGGCAACACTTAACTTAGTTTTTTGCTTCTCTTTTAAAGGCTAACAGTCTGTGCCATGGAGCATTGCTAGTCTCACAACCATCTTATAAATTTCTTTTTAAAGTCTAAATGGTACTTTTTTTTCACAGAATTGGCCCGAAGCATTCCTCCACTTCAAGCAACCAACTTGAATTCTACTAATAACATCCTCATCTATATCATCATCACTTTGAACAATAGACCCGAGATATCTAAAGCGTTCACACCTTTTAATGATTTGATTGTCCATAGTTATAACTCTGTCACTAGAGCTACTACTAGTAAAATGACATTCCATGTATTCTGTAGTTCTACTCAAACGAAGGCTTTTAGACTCCAATGTAGACCTCCATAATTCATGTTTTTTTCGAGCTCTTTCTCTAGCCTTATCCACAAGAAGGATATCATTAGCGAAGAGCATACACCAAAGTGCATTCTCCTGTTAATGTCCAATAAGAGCATCCATAACTAAAGAAAAAAATACGGGCTTAAAGCCGATCCCTGATGTGATCTAGCTGAAATAGGAAAATTTTTTGTCAATCCTCCTGTTCGAACATAAGTGACAACTCTAGTATACATATCTTTTTTAACTTGAATATAAGTCATTTCAATACCTTTCTTCTCTATAACTCTCTAAAGGATATCTCTTGGAGCCTTATCATAACATTTTTTTAATTCAATAAAAATCATATGTAGATAGATCCTTCTTATTCTCTCTGTACTTCTACACAAACCTCTGAATAAATATATAGCTTTCATAGTAGACCTCTCCGACATAAATCCAAACTGATTATGAGAAATCTTTGTAATACGTCTTAACCTAAGTTCAATTACCCTCTCCCATAATTATGAAGTATGACACATCAAATTAAATCCTCTATAATTTGCACACTTTTGTGCATCCCCCTTTATTCTTAAAAATAGGGACCAACATACTCTTCCTCCACTCCTACATTTTTTTTAGTTTTAAAATAATATTAAAGAGTTTAGTAAGCCATGAAATTCCCAAATCTTCTAAATTTTTCTACACTTCAATTGGAATATCATCAAGTCCTACAGACTTTCCACCATTGTTTTTCTTTAAAGCCCCATCAACTTCTTTTTTACTAATCCATCAACTTCTTTTTTACTATACTAATGCAAAGATAAAAATGAAACATTTTATTATTATTAACGATTGGGTGGAATTCATCTAAATTCCCCTTTATCTTATGTGGTATCAATTTGGTTGATTGACTCATTTCTGTCAATGTGAGTGCTAATTAGATGCTTTAATGATTGATATGATGGACATTTTCACTCTTCTTGCACAGGACATCAACACCATGAGACGAGAGAAGGCGTTTACATTTTATTCTTATTTTATAACTTGTTCTTGTTTTGCTTTTATTTGACTCAATTTATATTTGGAATGCTTTACTAATTTTTTGTTTCCAACATAGCTAACATGTTTAACAAATAGAAGTAGAAGCTATAATTATTCTAATGTTTGATTTTACTAATATAGTCACTTTATTCCATAATTAGGTCATTAATCACTATTTAGTTGAACCCAAATTGAGCCGAACTAATCTATGTTGCCATTCTGATTATTATTTAATGGCTCAGATATTTTGATTTTTTTAGTAAAACCGTATTCACTTTGTATTTTAAGTAATTTAGTATTGATTATGAACTTGTTTTGCTACTTAATCCATTTATTATCATCTTAATGTTAATTTTCATGCCATTCACTATTCGTTAATGGATTTTTTTCCCCTCCAACAACTGCTTTCATAGACAATTTAGGGATTTGAAATTGAAATTGAACTCCAGAGAATGTCTATTTAGGGATTTATTTATTACATATTCTCCTTGCTGTTTGTTGAATGGTTACTGGTTCAAAATTCTAAAGAACTCTAAGATGCAAACAGGTGGCTGATTTTGGGTTGTCCAAAGAAGAAATGTTTGATGGAAGGAAATCTGGACTCAAGGGAACGTATGGCTACATGGATCCCAGTTATATGTCAACAAGCAAATTCACAAAACAAAGTGATATTTATAGTTTTGGTATAATACTATTTGAACTCATTACTGCCATTAATCCGCAGCAGGGTTTGATGGAGTACATAAATCTTGTAAGTCCTCACCATGCAACTCCCCTTTCATATCATATCAAAAATACTATTGTTTAAACTTGAAAAAAAAAATGAAATACAACATTTCAATTTCATGCATAAATACGGTAGCATATATGTAAAAATTAAAGTTTAGATGCTAAATATCTAATTACATAGGAATTGAATGATATGCATGTAAATCTTTCTTCATATTTTTATCTTCAACTATGTTTCTTACAGTATCATACATTTTTATCCATCTCTAGCACATGAAGAGCCAACGGTCAACAAAATATTGACAGATTACATGATGATACACCAAAAACTGAATAAAGATTTGCACTTATATTTTGGCTGTAATTTTCAGGCAGTGATTGGCGGTGGGGATGGAAGAGATGAATGGGACGAGATAGTCGACAAGAAGCTCATTGGCAACAGCAACATCGAAGAGATCCGGCTTCTCGCCAACATAGGTCATCGTTGCCTGCACAAAAACCCAAGCAAACGGCCGGCGATATCGGACATCACTCAGGCCATCTCAAGAATCAGGCAGCATCATAACGCCCGGGAACAAAACACGTCTATTTCCGAAAATGATCCTTCTGGTGTCTTCAGTAGAATAGCACAGCAGCAAATTGAGCTGAGTAGTTTGGCTAATATTACAGATTTTCCATTACATCAAGAGTGAGTTTTGAGTTTTAAATCATTTATGTCATTTTCCTTTTCCACAATAGGCAAGGGATGAGTTATGTATTTGGCCCTTCCCTTTAAACAGGAGATCAGTGTTCTGAATTGCTATATTAAAAAAAAAAGATGAGGAAAAATGAGGAAGAAAATTGATCTCTTTTAAATCTTTTAAATTGTTCCATTTTGTTTTTTTTTTTTTGTTGGCCATGTTTATACATTATTTATTTATTTATTTAGGGGTAATTATACTAATTGCACTTTAAATTATGTTATTTATAAAACTAGCATCCAATTTTTTTCTCTTAAAACTATCGAATCGGTGCATTTACGCATGCCACGATGAAACTATTGTGAATTTGCAAAAATTAAAAATATATGTGTTGGGATTTTATTGTGAATTTTGATACTTAAAATGAGAATGTCAACATTTCTCATTCATTTTATGGAAAAATTATTCCACATGTGCACCTCATGCAGAGATACATGCGGTGTCTGTTCTCCACCGTCGATCACCACAAAGATATATTTCGGTGGGCCTCAATTTCAACATTTTTTTTTAAAATATTTTGGTTACGGTGATCGACGGTGGAGATCAGATATCGCATGCATGAGATGCATGCGATGTCTGTACGGAATAATTTCTACATTTTATGTTGCATTTGTAAATTGAATGTCAACATCATGTCAGTGAAAAATTAAGTGGAGTAAAAAATCATTAAGATATGTTATTAGCATATAATGTTTACACGTTACGATCATTGCATCTACCTCAAATAAATGTCACTTCGAAATAAATCGCCAATATCAATTCATTATTAATCACTATTACTGACATAATACAACTTATAATAGTAATTAAGCTATGATGACTCCTTTGATTACTTTTCCCATTCGTGTAATGAAAATAACTTGAACACAATGTCTCTTAAATCTCGGTGTAGGCCAACCACTTCTGTTTTTCCAATTGTTAACTGAATTATAGAGTAAAAAATTAGATTTTCAAAATTTTTAGTACAATAAATACAGATCTTGGGTGAAATTGATCATCATTAATTTATTCAAAATTTGATTTTTGTCTCATAAAAAAGCATTATAGGAGCAATATCTTTATTATTTATTCTCTTAGGCTAGTTAATGTGAGAGCTTATTTCAGATAAATTATCCAATAATATATTGGGGGATCTTTTTTCATTGAAGTTCATTGTGTATGCAATAGATACTCAACTCTATATTGAGCTCCTCGAATTTTGGCTCTAATGTGATTTAAATTTGGGTTGATATAAGTTTAAACTTACCCTTCAGATGCATTGATTTCAGGATACATTCTTAGCGAGTTTTTTTGCGTACTGCCATTTAGTGGAGTGAGCCAAGTCGATTCGTGAGCCGGCTTGAGCTTAACTTGATAGGTGGCTTATAAACTGAGCTATTATAAGCTAATAAGCTTAAGCTGAAGCTGGTCGCTACTCTACTTGTTAGCTTGTGAGCCGGCCAATTTTTTTTCTTAAATATTATCATAAAATATACACCGAATATATTAAATTTGAAGACTTTATTTTTAAAGCATTCAAAATATTAAAAAAATAGTATTTTATAATTTATAATAAGGGATTTCTTTTTTTTTTTGTCCTAATTGCTTGTTCTATTTGTCATTTTATTGTAACACTACCTTAAATTTATATTTTTTCTCCTATTTTATAATTAACAAGACTGGCTCAAACTTGTAAACTTAAGCTCGAATTCGAGCTTGAACTCAATAAAATTAATCAAGCTCAAGCTCAAGCCGAGGGTTGCTTGAGCTCAACTCGACTCAATTACACCCTTGCTACCAATGCTACGGGATATCATTGCTAACGAACGTCATACTCGAACTCCTCATTTCTTCAAGTGTTAATCCCGCTGAAGCCTGCCACCATTGAGCTTCCCTGCAAACTTTTTTTCTCCTCATTTGGCGCTAGCTATGTAATGCCTTAACAAGCAAGTTAGCCTCACCACTTCCTTCACTTCTGAGTTACACTTATGAAATCCACTTATCCTCACTCAATGTTGGCCTTGACTAAGCCTTGCCTCCTAATTGTGAGCTCCTGTCGTGAACTTCGCTCCTTGATACATCATCGCTTTCTCTTCGATGTTCTCGCATGGTAAAAGACGAACCTTAAAATCTTCTCATTTTCATGCCACCATTTTCTTTGATTTATGCTCCCACCAAGCTCCCATGATGAACTCCATGTTGCTGCTCCTATGGACGTCTTACCTTTGTGAGGCTGAAGGAGACAAATAAATAAGGGAAGTTCATTTGATCAAATAATTACAATATGGTTTCTTGCTGTTGATGCCTCATTTGGTGCAAGTATGCAAACCCATTTTATCAAAAAATTACAATATGGTATAATATTTCCACCATATTTGCATGCCTTGGTTTCATTGCAAGAGTATGAGATGCCTTATAAAAAAATAATTACAATTTTTATTAGTGAAATTAAACAATAATTAAAATGCAATATGCTATTTTATAAGTATTGCTTATGTTTTATTAAAAAACATTATGTGGATGTTAAGGTCACTAAATATATCACCACGTACTATGATTTTTTTAGTAATCAGTAGACATGCCCAATCAGTGACATGATAAACGTGGAGTTATCACTTACATAGAAAATTAGTTTACAAGTACATAAGAGTAACATAATAAAGGGGCATTTATATATGTAGCAAGAAATTTTTATGTATTTACACATATAAACTTCATATTTTTACATATAATATATTGGTATTTTAAATTTATTTATGAAATTATATATTTCATCTTTAAAAAACAGTTATAGTATTGTTTTTATGCGGTATTAAAGATTTGAGTGCTACATGTATAAATAAGAAAGTTTTGGTGTGAGATATATAAATACATAAGAATTAAGTGCTATGCATTTAACTACCCAAAAAGGTAAATTTTAAAACTACCCTTAGACGCTATATGTACTGTGCATAGGCTTAAATAGTCATGCCCACATGTAACATGTTTATTTAGTGAATATAAATAATAATATCTTCTCTGTGAATGTTGTTAACAATCATATTTGATAGGAGTGAAGAGGATGAAGGCTACACTATGAGTTGGTGAAAAGGCCAAAGTGAATTTGCATTTAACTAAACTGCAGTTAGTTTGATGAATCTGCCAACGATATTATCCTGAATGAAATGGGCCGATGATCTTGATGTATTTGATTTGCTCGGAAAAGATATAATTTGTATCAATGTGGATAGCGACCTGATTGACGCATAAATAATAGTATTGGCAATGGATTTGTGAAGCTAAAATCCAATATTAATTGGGTTAGCTAGGTTAGTTCACTGATACTATTGTGTCGATTATGTGGGTTGATAAGGATAATTTTTGGTTTGGTAGTGAGAAATCTGGCGTTCATAGTAAGTTGTGGAGTGTGGTGTCTTTGAGAAAGAATAATTATAGCACTTGATTGAGTGATCTCAAGTTCAAAAATGATCGAGTCGATGGCCTTCATAAATAGAGAATGGCCCAACATTGGTCCAACAGAGAATGACCTAACATTGATATTTGAATTTGACGCAAATTAATTTAGATATAGAAGACATATAAGTATCAAGCTTAGCAATGAAAAGGATTAAGCTAGTCTTTTCTTTAAACATTGGTTTGTTGAAGACATTTAAATGAAAGTTTTGAAATGAACCACTAATTTTTATCTTGCTATAGAATCACAAATTATTTCTTTATGGGTTACATTCTCAGGTTTAAGGTTAAACTACTACAACCAACAATCCCCTTACTTTATTGGAATGATTTTTTGAAAACCAATGAAAGTTGATTTGACTACTTCCAATATGAGTTGTTCGTCGGTAATAAGTATATTGGTGGAGAGGGATATTACTTTACCCATGCTAGAGGAAATTTGGCTTGGGATACCTAATATTGGTATTGACAAAAGGTTGAAATCGGATATAAACATAAATATTGCACAAAATATAAGATTTTTGGTCATAATACAAAGAAGTATTTTATAATATATCTAGAGTTAAGGTCAAGGAAGAAAAATGCAAAGATTGGGGCTGATTATTCCATGGATGGACATGATGAGACAAGGGTCCCACCACTAAGAAGGTGTTGTTCCATTATGACAATGCTGAAGGATGGATTAATGAGGATGATCTTCAAGTTATAGATAAAAATCAAATTGCAAATAAAGTGTTTACTCAATCGGAGAGACAATCAAAAACATAAATGGTTCCACTTATCACTGAAGAAGAAATGGAGGCAGCAAAGGAACTAATGGAGGAAGAAGGACAAGTTCAAAAATATAGAAGAGAAAAAGGGATAATACATAGGGAGTTGAATTATATAGACCCAAATGTGGATTTACATTATGAAGTTACATCCTTGGCTGGAATTCTTGAGAATCTGGATAATGGAACTCACCTTAGAATTACTAGAGAGAGTAGATCCATTAGTAATGATGAAGTTTCTCATTATTAGATTCTAGATGCATCCGGAGTGTTGACCTATTATTTTTTTTGATAGAGGAGTGATATAGATGTTCAATAGTTGGTTGGTGGTGATTTTAATGACATTTCTTCTCCTTTGGAATGCAGAAATTCAACGACAATATTAATGACAATGGCTTGTTTGAAGCTAAATTCATCGGTTATTCTTTCACTTGGAGGAGAGGTAAGCTATGAGAAAGACTGGATCATGTTTTAATAAATCACAAATGGATGGATTTCTTTCATTTCACTGAGCTCGCACATCTTAGCTTTACTGGTTCTTATCATACTCTTTTGCTTGCTAAAATTGATTTAACAGTAGATCTTGTCAAAAATAAATGCAACAGAAAAATGTCATTTTTAAGATTGAAAAAATGCAATGGAGAATGGATGTATAACTAAAAGCTGATTATTGAAAGTGCGATAGATTATTTTGAAACTTGTTCGAGGTAGGCAGGTAAGACCTCTTAGTTTTTCAAGAGGATATCTTTCATGTTGTTCCTTTGAATAATGAGCGGCTCATGACTATTCCAGATTAGAAGGAGATTTTGGAGGTTGTGAAGTCTATATATGTTAATAAATCAGTGGGTCATGATGGTTTCACAACTACATTTTATTTTCAAGCTTTTGATATTATTAAAGTTGATAGGATCTAGGCAGTCCAAAGCTTTTTCGAAGGTTCTCTTCCTCACAAATAGTTCATATGTGGATCCATTGCTTTGATTTCAAAGGAACAACATAGTTATTTTTGGGATTGCTTTCGTCCTATTAGTTTCACTTCCACTATTTTGAAAGTTCTCAGCAAAATTGTTAGTCATTGGTTTCAACCTTTATTACCGACATTGTTTTGTTTGCGGCGATCTGCTTTTTGTGGTTGGTAGAAGCATCACTGACTGTATTCTAGTTGCACAAGAGTTAATATGAAATCTTGAAGAAAAAGCAAGAGGAGATAATGTGATTCTCAAATTAGACTCAAGAAAGCTTATGACACAATTATTTGGCAATTTATCATAGCAATGTTGAAAGCTAAAGGATTCTTTGAGGAGTTTTGTAAGCTTATACATATGTTTTTGGAATATAACTTTTATTCTATTCTTATTAATGGCTAAAGCTATGATCACTTTAAGGTGAATCGGGGTTTGAAACAAGGGGACACTTTGTCTCCTATTATTTTTGTGATCACTTTGGACTATCTCTCTTGTCTTCTTAATAACCATATTGCCTGGCATCCCAAGTTTCCGTAGAAGGCTATGGGTGGTGATTTTTTCTCTCATTTGGCGTAAGTAGATGATATTATTCTTTTTTGTAATGCCAATAGCATCCTTTTTGAATTTTGCAACATTTTGAGAAGGTTTAAGGAATGAGCTTTAACAAGATGAAATGTCACATTATCATCAATAAATGGGTGTCTCTAATCGATAGGCAATGACTTGAAGATTTTTGGGGATTTATGATAAGGGCTTTTCCTATAAAATACCTTGACGCTCAACTTTCTCAAAGCAAAAATCACACGCTGATTTTCAATGAGGTGGTTCACAAAATCTCTAAAAGGTTGCAAAGTTGGGAAAATTCTATGCATTCATTTTGAGGTAGATTAACTCTTCTTTAACATGTGCTTTCTTAGATCTCGTTATATACACTTCAAGTTACAAAAATAATGAGTAATATGCAAAGTAAGATTAAAAGATTCTTCAACAATTTTTTGTGGGTCGGGCATGCTAGAGGTGTGCACTGGACTTTTTGAAGGAATCACTGCAAACCTAAGAATGCTCATGGGATGGGTTTCAAAACCTTTGACCAAATCATGGAGATAAATTTTTGCAAGCTATGGTTCAATACAAGGGAGCAAAAATGTTTATGGGCTCAAATTATAAAGAGAATATTTCAACAACAAACACCCTCTTACTTGTCAACCAAATCTTGGTGATTCGATCATTTGAAAGGAGATTTTGAAGATTCTAGATAAAGCGGAGCAATTCATCATTTGTGACCTTGGGAAAGATGATATTGGCTTTTGGTTGAATGATTGGACGCTTTTGGGTCCTCTGAATAAGACTACTAATGGTAACCACAACTATGATTTGAAGGTTGCTGAAGTTTGGGATGAGGAAGGTTGGAGCTGTCATAAGTTATCACACCTGGTTGGTAAAGACTGGTTGAGACTTATTTCTAACATTCCTTTTGATCTTCACAATGTGGATTGTGCAAACCAATCAAAATGTTCCTTTATCGAAGGTTATTGCGAGCAAGTTACATCATACTACTACTTCGCTTCTCCCTGCTCCCCTGTTAATCCACTGTTTTCAGACATTGATGACTGCTTTGGGCTGCCTTATAACTGTTGCTAAGCTATACATCTTTCATATCATTATTGAAATAGATTCTCTGTTGGCTCTAAAAAACTGCACTCATGTTTACTTTTATGGAAAAAATCTGATTGTTTTATCGTCTTTCATGATTTTTTGATTTAAGGATCATTTAGTATGTTAAAATTAACCTTATACAATTCAAATTTCTTCTTGCCTTGTTTTTCTTAAATAACTAGAAGTAAATATTTTGTAAGCATTTAGCATCCATTTTACAAATGATTTCATTAATATTTTCTAAACACAGTGTATTTTTTATTGATTATTATTTTTTTTATTTTTTCAGAGTTCTAAAATTAATATTTTAAGAGGATTCATATAAAGTTTATATTCAAAAACTAATAAAATTTTAAATTTATATAAAAACCAAAACTTATAATTTTTTGTATGAAATTATAGATCTCACTCACCACAATTCTCAATTAACATTTTTCTAAAACTAAGAGCCCCTATAGTGATTTGGGAAAGAAAATTACATCAGGACTCTGCACGTAGAGCTATGTGCGGACTCCAATGAAATTGCGCCGTGAATGTGATCAACTCGATAATACAGGGAATATTCTCCTCGTGTTATTCAGATGTTATTGTGTGTTATTCAGGTGTTATTGTATGTTACTCAGGTGTTATTGTGTTCTGAGAATATTCTCGTGTTATAATAACACAATAACATATCAATAATACTTGAATAACACACAATAACACGAGGGGAATATTCCCTTGCGTTGCCGGGCCGATCACCTCCACGGCTTAATTTCATTGGATTCCGCACACAGCTTTACGTGCAGAGTCCTGATGTAATATTTTTTTTTTTTTTGTGTTTTGGATGCCTCACTACCGATTTCGATTCCATCCTTTCAATCAATTTAAAAAATTGTTCGGCTTAAGGCATGTGACTGTTATTCTAATTATATTTTAATATTGTCATAATTTTATAAAAAAATGATATTTTATTTACTACTGTTTTAAACTATTATTTATTTAATGATATAAAAATGGCAATGTTAATGAATATTAAAGAAAAGACTTCTTCCAAAAAGATCTCAACTAATTACTGTTTTGCATTGATTCGGGCCTGAATATCACTTAGTGAACATGAATAGAAAGCATAATAATTATAAATCTCATAAGTAGTTAACCAATAGTGATATTTGTGAGCTTCTTTGCTTCCATGACTCTTCCTAGTTAATTTATAAATGATTATTGTAACTCCAATATTCAATTTAGTTGATTGATTTGCAATGCCACAATTTTTGTATTGAATATATTCATAATCCTATGATATTTGTTATTTTTTTTACACTTTTTTCACATGTGATTATGTGATATTTAAAAGTTGGAATGTGTGAAAATTTTTAATATTTTATAATATTAAACTATTTACGTTCAACAACATCTTTCATTGGTGTAGGAATTGAAATACTCTGTGCCAAGAAGCTGAACCCTTAAACACCGAAAAACTTTTGTAAATATAGATAATGAAATTTCATTAGAAACGTCAAAGTATTTGAATCATAGACTTTTAAGACTGACTTCAGAATCATTCAAATTCTATTTTTAATATATTTATAGTCAAAATGAACATTTCAATAAGAAAAATCTCTGAGATACTAAATAAATATGTGTCTTATATCACACTTCATTACATAAAAAACCAAGACAAAGCTTGAATCCATTGAAAATCAGCCTCCATTGAAGAATAAACTCTTCTTTTATTCCTTCAAAAGCCATGCCTTATATCATACTTCATTACATTAAAATTAAACCAAAACAAAAGCTAACACCAAACATTAGCTCAAATCTATTTCTTTCTTTGAAGGAAAAAAAAAACTAACTCTAACAACAATCATTATTCATGATTCACTAGCACCACTCCTACAAACTATTTTCCAATGATAATGAGAGGAACATAGGACAAACTTCCTCTTTATGATTTCTAATAATCAAATAATACCTTTTCTATAGCTGTGCGAGCATGTAGCCACTAATAGGTTGGCAATCTGTAGCTGAAGGACTGTAACAGCGCTCTGCAACTATCTTATTAGCAGCTTGTGTTGGGTGGAATGAATCCCAAAATATAAATCCATCTCTCTGAGAACAAGGAACCTGAAGTGGCAAGCAGCTTAACTGTCCACCATACTTCCCACTCCCACAACAAGCCTGGTTCTTCTCAATAAATCCTATAGAAAACAATTCAATTTCATCATACATATCTATGTTACATATCTTACACCTAAACTTTACTTTTTACATTTGTACCCCACAAATTTTTAATATCATTTTAAAAATCCCACCAATTTTAATTTCTAAAAAGTGAAAAGCACTTTTTTATGCTAAAAAAGAAAGCTTTTGGTAGCGATTATTTAAAGACACTTTAAGAAAATGCTGCTAAAATAATTAAAAAAAGTATAAAAATAATTAAAATCGCTGCTAAAAGTCTTTGCAGCGCTAACAAATGCAACGTTTTAAAATTCTGCAATGAAAATAGGAGTTTTTACAGTTGTGATTGTTTGTATAAAATACTGTGAAAACTCTTTTTTTTAGTAGGTGCATGCATGTAAAAAATTGAAGTTTAGACGTTAGATATGTAAATACATAGAAATTGAGTGGAGAAATTGAGTGGCATGAGTGGCATGTATGTGAGTCTTCCTTGAAATGTATCAGTTTCTATGGTAGCAATAAACCAACTCATTTTCTTATAGAAAGCAATTCAATTTCACCATACATATCTATGTGTTTACATATATAACACCTAAACTTGACTTTTTACACTTATGTCACCCAAAACTTATCATATTAAAATGTATTATTATTTTAACTTTTAAAAATTGAAATACACCTTTCAGCATGCATGTGAAAATTGACGTTTAAATGTTGAATATGTATATACATAGAAATTGAGTGGTATGTATGTCTGTAATCCTTGAAATATTGAAAAGAGCATCAAAACAGTCCGCTGATTTCTTATAAGAGGTCAATTTAGTCCAACGGTCTATAAAAGTATCGAGACTCTTTTAATATGGGCTGAGAGAGTTCCCACAAAAGACTATTGCAGCCCTAATTTAAATAGTCTTGAGGGCTAAATTTACACTTTTATAAACTTCGGGACTAAAAGAGATCTCATATAAACAGTCAAGGGACTATTTTGCCATGTTGCACTTGAAATATATATGTTTCTATGGTAGCAATACATGAACTTATTATCTTATCATACCATAGTTAGTAGGGTTCTGAACCAAATCATTGAATGTGTCATATATGTTCTCATAGACGAAGAAGGACCCAGGTAGCGTTGAATTGAGCTTGACTAAAAGAGGCACGAGCCGTTCATTAAACAAAGAGACCTGTTCGTTGACGAGGTCGATGCAGCTGCCATCGGTGCTGTTGTGCTGAAATAGCTGGCTCGGAATGCATCCCAGCGGTCCTATCCCAACTAGAAGCATCTTCCTGACTCCAAGCATGTATAAGCTCTGCAGTATGGCTGTTCACATTAGCTAAAATTTTAAATGACTAATCGGTTTTGGGAAGATTTACATACAGACCACTTAATTCGTATGTATTTACAAATCAAACACCTAAACTTCAATTTTTACATATTAGTGCCACCTTACCTATACATTTAAAGGTGTATTTCACATTTTAAAACTTAAAAAAGTAGTATGTTTAATGTGATAATGAAAGATTTGGATGGTGTAAATATAAAAATTAAAGTTTAGGTGTCAGATATGTAAATACATAGGAATTGAGTGGTATGGATGTAAATGCCCCTCGAGTTATCGGTTGTAAATGATGGTGAAATAAATTTACTACAAGGTTGTTGTTTTTTTCCTTGTATAAATATTGATATCTTTACTGTAATGCATTTAATACTTACTGAGTGGATGAAATGTTAGGTGGAAGCTCAATTAATAATACCGTTGATGCATATTTTGAATTTAAGCTTTCAAAGGGTCTTGGATCCGGTGTTTGTCTTTTGGTTAGAAGCAATTGTTATTTTCTAGGATCTAATATTCCCTGTTGACAGTTTGAAGCTCAACCTACAATTCTGTACTACCATCTAAAAACTTGTGTTTAAGATTTTTCAACTTTCCTGCTTGATTATTATTCTTAAAAGTGTGAGAAATTTGCTAGACTTTTGTTTTCTTAGGAGCAAATTTATGCGCTGAAGCACAAAATTGATGCAAAAAGGATTTGACAAATTGAAGTTTACGTGTAGATATGTAAATATATAAGAATTGAGTGGTATGGTATGCATGTAAAATTTAATCAGTTATTGATCAACAAAGTAAGGGAGGAGTCCCCCATCCACGAAGCCATTGCCCCGCACACAATTTTACCTTTAGTCATTTCTAAGATTTTTACCAGTGGTATTAGATGGAAAGATTACCTGACAATTTTAGCTGGATGCTCAGACACAATTTAATGGCTCAAGGTACATCTCCATCATATTTGAATTCAAATTGTTTCCCAATACTATTAACGGTAACTTTATAGCGAAAGGTAAAAAAAAAAAACAATCTTTCAAGTCAAAAGATACGAATTTAATAAAAAGCCCCACGAAATCATCTATCAACATCAAAAAAGCGCATGAAAATCATATTCTATAAAATAAACAATTAATAACTTTGATTCGAAGATGTCTGCATTTGGCTTCTATCAGAATCAAGTTTAACAGAAGTATTAAACTCTTAATTAGGCGCTAATAAACCAAAAGCCATGAAATTTAGAACAAACCTTCAACTGACGCTCGAAGTTGCTGATGAGAAGATCAGCAAAGGCATCCGCTGTGTACTCTCTGCTGCTGGAATAAAGATTGGGAAGCAGATAATTGTTTATATAATCATTACTACCAATATTTATGACGAAAATGGAGCTCGAAATATAATCTGACAAGATCTTCAGATTTGGTATCAGAAGAGGAAGCTGCAGAGTTACTGTCTTCGCAAACAAAGCAATTTGTCCATTGAACGAGATCCTCCCTCCCTGCCATTCTTATATGATTGCAGAATATAAGCATAAAGAGATTACTGCATGATCAAATTAAACAAATTCGTCTCCGTAACTGAAGCGAAATTTACATAATGGCGCCCGGTTTCGTCAAGAATTCCTGCAGCAGCGGAGGCATAGTTAACCCCTTTCAGTATCTCCGTTGTCTTCGAGTGTAAGCTCAAATACGGCACCGGAAATGGGAGCCCTAAAAGCTTCGCTGCAATGTTAGGGAAGAAATTAAGTTTGAAGTTTAGGTTTCTGCAACAAATTGGGTGGAGTAAGTGAAATGGAAGGGGAAGGGAAGAGAGGAAACCTCCATAGTCGGTGACGGTGAGGCCATTGCAGAATCTTCCGGTGGGGAAGCCATAATCAATGCCGTAAGGTAAGTAGTTGGCTTTCGCAATGGTCGGAATGAAGTTGTTGTTGCCATTATCGATGAGGGAATCGCCGAAGATGAACATGGCCTGTGCGCGGCCGCATTCAGAGATCGGGAGGCGGAGGAAGGTGGAGAGTGAGATGAAGAGGAGAATGCAGAATGCGTCTCCATTGGCTTTCTGCATTCTCGAGAGGAGTTTATTCTTTACTTCTTTAGCTTTTATTGAAGAAGAATTGCAGGATTTCATTTTGATGAATCTGTGTTGAGAGGCGCACATTAAATGCTTCTCACATTTATATTATGAATTTTATTTATTAAAGATTTGGGGGTATATATTTTTATAGATATGTGTGCTCTCATAAATTAAATATTTGGGATAAAACATTTATTTCTTGTTTATAAATTATTTTTAATATTGTTGTTTAAGACAATTTAACAAAAGATAAAATATTTAATTGTAAGCATATTTTTTTTCTTGAATTAGAGAAGATGGAATAAGACTGTTGACAATTACACATGTATAATAGTTATCTATTTTTAATAGTTGTAATTGGACTACAATAAATGTAGTTTGTGGTGATAATAGTAATAACGGGTCACAAGGGCTATAGTCGGTTGCTATAAAAATAATAGTTAGTAATAAAGGCTATAGTCAGTGGATGCAATAGCGTTAATTGGCTATAGAACCTTTAGTTGGAGACTACAACGATGTTAGTTAACTGTGGAGGTTGTAATAGTGTTAGTTAGCCATGCAGATCATAGTCGGTCGTCACAATAGCATTAGTTGGTCGTAGAGGCTGTAATGGAATGTTGGAAAGATAATAATTAGCTACGTTGGCTATAGTGGAAAGCTACAATAATAGTTGGTCATATAAGCTATAGTAGGTCATTACAAGAGCGTCGATTGACCACAGAGGAATTTGTAGTGGGAAACTATATTAATAACTGGTTACATAGGCTGTAGTGGATCACTACAAGGGCGTTAGTTGACCACTTATGTTGTAATGACAATAATTAGTCACATAGGTCATAGTGGGATGCTATAGTAGTACTTGGTCACATAAAAATTAGTGGGTCTCGGTAAGAGCATTAATTGGTTGCATATGATAGTTGGTGTTACACCGATTGATGGCTACAACGCTTCTCTTTGGTTTGTTATTTTATGTAAAAAATAGACCTTATTCGTATACGATGTATAGAAAATTTCATAAGTCTTGATAAAGTCATCATATTATGAATATATCAATCTTAAGCAGTTGTTGCTGAGAGTTTTCATCAGATCTTTAATACAGCATTATTCATTTACATCATATTTGAGGTACATCATTACACTATATTTGAGATACATTGTTACATCATATTAAGGACACTTAGCTAAACCATATTCAGTATACTTCATTAGACCTTATTCTGGGATATTTTGTTACAACTTATTTTGGGATACATTAATAGACAATGGAGTTCACTGACAACAATAAGCAGAGCGCAACCAGCGATGGTCGACGGTGGTTAGACGTTATAAGAACTGGAAGTTGTCATCTGTCCTTTAATCCATGATATCATGTGAATTTGACTTATATTCTCTCCGTTAAGTGAAGAGTGGAGATTCATTTATAGCCTTTGGAGGAGGGTCGTTTTGGTCATTTGGTGACTAACTCCCAAAACCACGCGATCGGATGACTCATTTTGACCCCCTTAATCATAGGAGTGATTCTTGATGATTAAAGAGACTTAATGATCTCAAAATTAAGCGAGCTTAGACTCGTTGTATTCCTCTCTTTGAATGTTAGATTTGACTAAAATTTCATCAAATTTAAAATTCATTTGACCATTTAATTAATAATTTGAAGCCTCTAAATATCCTTAAATGGCTTGATTTGAACTTGATCAAATTTGGATTGGATCATATTTTTCTTATCATTAGGTTCATCCTTTTGAGACGATAGTTTGATTATAAGTTTGCTAAAATTGAAGCTTTGGATGATTTTTAATTTGAATTAGATATCCCATCATAAGAACTGATGCTTGAAAGCTTAAACCCTTCAAGAATAAGGTGTTGAAGGACAATCTCAGCCATGAACATGACACTTGAGAATTTATGTCGAGTAAGAAAATGACTCCAATCTCTTAGAGGGAAATCTTCTTACACTAAATGTTTTAACGCATCACGCATTAGGTGAAGTTGAGCGAAGTTCCCCACATATTTTGGAGGCTTGCTACTAGGTTTAACTATATGAGATAAATGTGTAGAGGCCATTAGTGTATAAAGGCCAGTTTACTTATGAAGAACCTTAGTATATGGAAAGGGTGCTATCTATGTACCTTCAACCAATAGATTTTAAGGTAGTTGCACCCCTTCTAAATGGACTATCATCAATTGTTGCACCTTGATTAACAGTTAGAGGATATCATTTCAGAAATCCTCCATTTCTCGTACACAATCATCAAAAGGTGCAAATGAGGTACTTTTGTCAGCAGGATGATGTGTATAATTAAAAAATAAAGCAGAGGCCTGGCGTTCCAGCCCTTAAGACTGTACCTAATGAGGCTTCGTTTCTCATATAAAACATCAAAATGTTGTGAGTTAAAAGAATCACGGTGGTAGAGTGATAATTTAACATTTCAATGTTGCATGAAAATCCATCACACACACAAATAATAGTAGTAGAAGGAGCCACCAAGATTTTTTACATCCAAAAAATCTAGAAAAAGGAAAAAATCACGAGGCCTGGCTTAATCAAAGTAAATCTATTATATGATTGTAAGTACATAAATCCACTTTTTCCCTAAATTAGAGATGATGAATTTATAATGTTGATAATTACAGATGCATAATAGTCATCCAACTTTAATAGTTGTAACTGAGCTATGATAAATATAGTTCTTTGAAACAATAGTAATATCAGCCTTTAATGATCATAGTTGATTGCTACAAAGGAAACAATTAAACATATAAGCTATATTTGTTGGTTGTAAGAGCATTAGTTAGCCACAGTAATTGGAGATGACAATAATGTCAGTTGGTTGTAGAGGTCATAGTTGGAAGTTATAGTAACAATGGGCCACAAAGTCATAGTTGGTCACATAGGCTATGGTTGGTAATTGAAGTGGTATCAATTGGTCATAGAGGTCGTAGTTGGAAGCTGCAATACCAGTTGCCTACATAGGCTGTAGTAGCTCAAATAGTTCATTATTGGTAGTAGCAATGCCATTAGTTGGCTATATATGCTACAGTAGTTGGTAGTTATAAGAGTGTCAGTTGGCCACAAAGGTCGTGGTGTAAGACTGTAATGACAACAGTTGACCACATAGATCGTATTGGAAAATGATGGTAGAAACTTGTCACGTAGGCCATGGTAGGTCATTGTAAAAGTGTCAGTTGGCCACAGATGCTATAAATAAATGTTATAATGACAATAATTAACCATGTAGGTTATAGTGTGGGAAGCTGCAATAGTAACTAACTATATAGGTCATTGTGGGTCACTGTAATTGTGTCAGTTGGTGGTAAAGGCTATAGTAGTAACTAGTCACATAAGTCACAATGGGTCATTGCAAGAGCATCAGTTGGCCACAGAGGTGGTAATGACAATAGTTAGCCACATAGGTGATTATGGAAAATTGCACTAGTAACTGGCCACATAAACCACAATCGATCACTATTAGAGCTTCAATTTGACCACAGAGGTTGTAATGGAATGTTTCTATGACAATAATTAGCCACATAAGCCATGATGAGAAGCAACAAAGTAACTTGCCACATATACCAATGTGGGTCGCTACAAGAACATCAATTAGCCACAAAAGGTCATATGTTAAACCACTTAAGTAAAATGAAGCTAAACTCTTAAATATTGAGGCACCTTTTGGTGTAATGGTGAAATTTTATTAGACATCCCAAGGTTAAGCATGCTCATGCTTGAGCACTCCTAGGATGAGTGAGAGTTTGTACTATCCAAAAGATGAGAACTAAGTGTTATACAGAATAAAGTGTCATGTCATGGGAGCCATCTCTTAAACCCTATATGGAATAAAGTGCTACATGGTGGGAGCTAACTCTTGAATCTATTGGGCCCACCTTCATGATTCCATCCGTCTAATGGAGGATTATGAGTATAGAGAACTGACGAGAAAGTTAGGTATCTATATAGGGGAGATGGTGAAACCCCTTAAGTTGAATGAAGTTAAACTCTTAAAATTTGAGCGCCTTTTGTTGTAATGGTGGAATTTTATGAGAAACTCTAAAATTAAGTGTGCTTGTCTTGGAGCACTCCTTGGATGGGTGAGAGTTTGGGTCATCAAACCACAGCTGTTGTTACACTGGCTGTTGATTGCAACCCTTCTCTTGAGTTTGTTATTTTACACCAGAGAGTTTGGGACATATTGAAAACATATTAACAACACTTATCATATACAACTTATCAATATACGACATATTGGGTCATCAAACCACAGTCTGAAGAAATGAAAGTATTATATTCTGAATAGGACAGGCATAAGCAATTGTCATTGGGAGTTATCACAAGATCTTCAATATAACATTCTTCGTGTATAACGTCATTAGGATACAATATTACATTATATTCAGGATACTTCATTGCACCATATTTATGATACTTTGCTATATCATATATAAGATAATTCGTTGCACCAAATTCAGGTATACATCATTACATCAAATTTGGGGATACATTGTCACATAAAAAAGTTCATTGATGAAGGGCAACTCCACTCTAGGTCGAACGAAGGATAACTCGTTGCCAGATGGATGGAGGAGGTTGTTTGAAGACTAAGGTTAAACCACAAATGAACTTGGTCGAGAGACATTCATATGATTCTCATGCGGTTCGACTCACCATCACCGAATGAATGGATGTGTACTGACGACTAAGAGCCATCATGATCGACCAACTAATCTAACATTAAATATATTTATAGATTTAAACTATAAAAAGGACCTTAACACTCTTAAGCCTTTATAGAAAGGAGAGCCTTAGATGTAATTGTGTATTTTGGACATCTCCTGCAACGATAAATAGGGAATCATTTTATGGATAAAGGGGTGAATGCTCTCATTCTATTGTTCACTTCTTATTTGCCTCCCACTCGCCTCTTTGACGCGCTCTATTCCTTAGGGGTGATTTCTTGAACACTTTAAAGTTCAACAATCTCAAAAAAATATGATTATTTTAAAATTTTAAATGCTAAATACACCTTCTCACATATAAGTAAGATGACACATGTAT